ATCAAATAAATAATCTTAATATTTTGTAAATATATTATTTATAACTATAAGAATATATATAATTTGTTTAAATAAAGTTTATTAATAAAGTTTTTGAGATATTAGTTATACTAGAATTTGGGATTTGGGATGGCGGACAAATCCCAAACTATAGTAAGTCAGGATTTTGCCAACATGTATAGTCCAAAATAGTCTTTCATTTCGCTTTATTGAATCTAGTATATTTCATCAATTTGTTAATTTTTTTAACCCGAGCGTTAAAATTCCAAATCGTCAAATGATAAGCACTAAAATTCTTGTTGAGTATGCAGAAAAATTAGAAAAAGATAAAGTTTTTACTCTTTCTAAATCACAAGAACCAGTTACAATTATGTTTGATGGTTGGAAAAATGTGCATTGCCAGGAAATTTTAGGCGCTGTTATTCTTTCTGCAACAAATTAGTTGTATATATGGGGTGCTGAGGATATAAGTGATCGTAGTCAAAAGACTTCTGATGTACTAAATACAATTCATAATTTTTTTGAACGTGCTAAAAATCAAAATTTTAATGTAGTGGCTATGGTCACAGATAGCGCATCAGTATATACCTCTGCACGATATGTATAGATAACAAAAAAAAAAAATTAGAAAAATCTTTTATCATGATCATGAAGTAATACAAAAATTTATTTACCAGGCGCAAAATATGATTACAAAAACGTAATATTGTATTTCTCCTGTGCTTCGCACATCAAGCAAACCTATGTGTTGGTGATATCTTTAAATTTTCATTCGAATATAAGAAAACATTAAAGAATGCCATTGGAGTTGCGTCATATTTTACTGATAAATGACATTCAAAGGCAATATCATTACTTCATGATGAGCAGCAGAGGATTTACAAAACCACATATAGCTTTGTTTTCCTACAACCACTCATTGGAATTCCTATTATTATTGTTTTGCAACGCTCCTAAGAAGCCAATGTGCTCTACAGTCATATTCGATCCTATATCCAACAGACAAATCTTCCACTGTTATTAAAACCCCTCAATTTTGAACATACCTTGATGAATTAGTGAAACACTTTCTGCCTTTTGTTAGCATACTTGACTATCTTCAATGTGATGCGGCCAATCTTTTTGATATTGCCTATGCATTCGGATATGTAGCACAACAATATGAAAATGATATTCATGGATTTGGTTATGAAATGCAAAAAAAACTTGAAAAAAGATAGGCAGATTGGGAGCAACCCCTTCTTTTGTTGGCAATTATATTTCATCCACAATATCGTGTTCAAGCTTTGTCCGATACAAATTTTTTTTTTCTTGGCCGAATAACAAGCTGGATCGAATATTATTATGAAATGTGGTTTGATATAAAACCAAAGCATATCACACTGGAACTAACTGAATACTATATGAAACGTGGTATATTTAGTGATGAGAGATTTGAAAATACCATTGATGCCATCTTAGCAGAAAATGTAACAAAAAATGTAATTGGGCTCGCATTATTGCGATATTGGAAATTTGCAGCAATTGATCAAAAAGAGATTGGTAAAGTCGCACAGAGGTTGTACAATATTAAAGTTAATTCTGCACCATGTGAGCGCCTGTTTTCTCGAATGGGATAGTTCCAAAATCCAAGATGCAATCATCTTAAAGTAAGAGCAATGTTATTTGAATTTGGAACAGGTTTATTTTTCATATGAGAAATAAAACTGGTTCCAAACTCTGCATGTATTTGAATTTTATAAATTTATTTTAATAAAAACTTATCTTGTAGGTACAAACAATTTTTAGGATGACTCAAATCGCGGCTGAGATGGAATAGGAAGAACACGTAGAAAAATTCGCAAAACTGTTACCATGAATCGTATTACTAATTCAAATAATAGTAAAACAGCAACAACACACTGTGAAACACAATTAGAATCAAGCTTTGAACAAAGAAATGAAAGAGACAACCCAATTGTACTTGACCTTACCGAAAATATGCATATTCCGATACTTGATGGTGAGATGCCTAACAAAAATAATTATAATGCTAATGATTATGATAGTGATGATTATTCCAATGATGAAAATGAAGAAATAACAAACGACGAATCAATTATCAGAGAATTGACTAAAGATAATGACAATGAAGATGAGGATCTTGAAGAATTAACTACAACTTCTTATGATATGCAAAATTGTCATCCAGCTGAACATGAAGGTTCAAAGATTGAACTTCAATACCTTTTTACGCATGCTTTATCACAACCTTCATTTGTTCGTACTCTTCAGCAAGATATTGAGAATAATTTTGTATTTTCTAACAATTAGAAACAATCATATAAAATGTAATGCAACCGCTATTTGGTTAATAAATTTTATTATAATAAAGAATTAGTTTTGCTATCAACATTTGTATTAAAAGATCAACTATAAAATATTTTGGCATAACGTAATTAGACTAAATAATATTGAATTCTAATAGATTTAGTTAGCAATTTAGTAAATCGCAAAATATAAAAATCACTACTTACCAAGTAGTATATCCGGCGGGATTTATATTGATCAAATCTGGCTTGTTTAAATGCAAAATATCTTATTGATATAGACTCTTAGCCGTGTATTAGACATGGGTCTATTATAGATCTTAAAATTAGTAAATGTAAAAGACTTGTGAAGACTTTTAATAGAATTGAACTTAGCTACAAATTATTGGTTGATCTGGTTACACGGACCAACATGACCGATTTGACCAACATGATCATGGTCGAACTGGTCATATTGGTCATATTGGTTTGTGTAACTAGATTATTTGACCAATTTGACCAGTATCACAAAATTGGACCAGACCGGTCAATGATCAAATTGGTCTGGTCGAATAGTCAAATTGGTCTGGTCAAACCTACTCTGATTGTAATCATATAACTATACATATAATCAATTATTATTCAAGCTCTAATATTTCATACAGAATAAATAAATGTAAATACTAAATATTATAATAAAAGGGGCTTTCTAGATACAATTATTATTGTTATTAAATTTAAGAAAAATTTCAGATGCTATGCTTTTACCAGATCTACTCGGAGTTTTACATCCTACCGTAAGATAGTTGAGTCTTTTGATTGCTTCAATATTGTAAATATTAAAAAATATTCTGAACGCTTCTTTCACTAATTTAATGAGCTGTCCCATTGTCCCACACGTTTTGATCTTATCTATATTAGTACTATTCAAATATCTTTGTAATATCTGTTCAGCAACTTCTTGAGTTATGAATTCATCGATATCAGATCTTGATGGTGGTAGTGTTCGTTCTCCTGATCGATTTTTCTTAAAATCTTGTACTAACATGGTTATTTTTTGGTTGAATTTGCTGCGAAAATCTGTCAAAACTCGTTTTAAATAACAAATAATTTCTATAGCTTCATTGCTATAGAGCTCATATTTAAAGATTTTTGTAATGAGGGTTTCAATAGCTCCAGATAGTGGGTTTCTACATCTGAAGAAAAGACACTTTATTTCCTCATGCCAGAGCCAGGCAAGACCCTATATGATAAATTTTAAAATGTTAAATTACATGAATAAGATTAATGAAGAAAACACAAGATTAACGAAGTACTTTATCATCAGTAGCAATGGCATTCTGTGATGCCACTATTTCAGGTTGAGAGACCATAACAATGGGTGAATCTAAAGACGTTTGCATGGCGTTTCGCATTTGAATGGCCGTTTGCAGTATATCCGGCCTTTCGAAAACTAGCCATTGGCAAACTTCGAACATGTTCGTCATATCATTGAGAGCTTCAAACTTTCCTATATTCATAAATAAAAAAAAATTTATTTAACAAATGAAAGGTAAATGAGATAAGCGAACTTAGAATATGAAATTAAAATTTTGCATTCCCACGGCAATTGGGTAAAAAAAACTTATTTTATTGACAGTCTAATCTAGAAACTTTATATAATCTATAATTTGAGCCAACTTACCATCTCTTATTCTAAGAGATTGGTTAGCCTCATTATCGCCTTTATCTTTTTTATTGCTCTTTTGTTGGTTTTTCATAATTCTTTCGATACGCGTAGCCTAAATAATTTTATAATTAGTATTAGAACAAAATGACTATTACAGAACAGCATTAAATATAAAAAGCATACGAAAGCTATCATCGCTAATATCATCATCAGATATTTGAAGTAATTCTGAAACCAACACTCTACTTTGCAGTTGGTGGCTACTTTCATTTCGAATATCAACAGGTGTTACTCTTTCATTTCGATTATTAACAGATAACTCCACTTTACTTTGCAGTTGGTGGCCACTTTTACTTCAATTATTAACAGGTGGCTCTACTCGATTTTGCACTTTCACTTCGATTATTAACAGGTAACTCCACTTGATTTTGTAGTTGGTAGTTACTCTCAGAATCTGCCGTACTTGATGTTGCTTGAAAATCGAAAGAATTAAAATTAAAGATAAATTTAGAATTTTAGTTTTCTTTTTTTTTTTTATTATTATTGCAAATCGGCTATTAAAATAAATGAAATAGTTCAATAACCTAGGGCCTTTGATACTAAGTTACTTGCTGACACCATTGGTATTGTATTTACTATTGGTATTGTATTCAACATGCTTAAGCCGTTAGTATGATAAATTTGTTAAAACCTTGAATTTAACAGGCTTTTTTTTTTTTTTTTTTTTTTACCGATAACTGATTTAATTTTTTCTTTATAATTTAAATCCAGGTCATCCCCAATATTTGGTGCAAAAGATTCATTATTTGTCTCACGTTCTTTATTATGTTGATCTTCTTCATGACTTGTCTCTCTTCCAAGGTTTCCTTTTCCACGGTTTCCTCTTCCGCAATTGCTGCCACCACAATTGCTGCTACTACAATTTCCTCTTCCACATCTTTCTAATTAATATAGTAATATTTTTATTACTATGAAGCAAACTCTAATTTTTATACTAATAATCACAAGTTTTTGCCAGTCAATACTTACTTTGAACTTTTTCTATTTGAATTATTTCTTCGACCTCATCAATTTCTTCGGTTATTGGTCTCTTTGATCTTGTCATTTCGCCTTAATGTTTAAAAAAAGAAACGGGATAGTTTAAACCTTAAAAAAAGAAAGCCTCCACTTTTAATGAAGGCAAATAGGCCGTAATCCAATTAATACTAACTTAATATGCGATACAGTGACTACACAAACGCAGATAATGTTTATTACTTACAGTTAATAGAATTTCTAAATTCTTAAATTATTTATTCAAGAGAGATCACGTTAATTATGATTTTTAAGTTTATTACTTACAGTTAATAAAATTTCTAAATTCTTAAATTATTTATTCAAGAGAGATCACGTTAATTATGATTTTTAATTTAATTTACTATCATCAGATCATATACATATAATTAATGTATTTAAAATAAATATGAAAATTATCTTATGCAGCATTTCAAAAGATCTCTTGCATGAATTCAATACATCATTTTTTATTTCTATTTATGACAAGTTGCAGATTAATTGATTAATTTAATTTCAGAATTTATAAAATAAATTCACGTGCCTTGCATAAATAATATACAAGACTTTAAAAGCCTAAATGGTATTTATTATTAGAGAAGGTTATGGTCTATATAATTAGACTCGGCAATAACTACCAATTGAAAAATAAAAATTTCTCATTGAACCAATACACTTTTTTTTTATACAAGACTTTGGTTTTATGATGACAAGTTGTAATAAGTTGGATTTAATTGATTAATTCAATTTCAAAATTTATAAAATAAACTCACATGACTTGCATAAATAATATACGGGCTTTAAAAGCTAAACGTTATTTATTATTAGAGAAGGTTATAGTCTATATAATTAGACTCAGCAATAACTACCAATCAAAAAATAAAAAAATTTCTCATTAAACCAATGCACTTTTTTTTGTGCAAGACTTTGGTTTTATGACGACAAGTTGCAGTAAGTTGGATTTAATTGATTAATTCAATTTCAGAATTTATAAAATAAACTCATATGACTCACATAAATAATATATTATTAGAAAAGATTATAGTCAATAACAACCAATCGAAAAATAATAAAAAAAGTCTTATTGTCCAAAGCACTTTTTTTTTGTGCAAGACTTTAGTTTTATGCCGACAAGTTTCGGTAAGTTGCGGATTAATTAATTGATTAATTCAATTTCAGAATTTATAAAATAAACTCATGTAACTCGCATAAATAACATATTACTAAAGAAGGTTATAGTCTATATAATTAGACTTGATAGAAATAACTACCAATCGAAAAATAAAAAAAATACTTATCGTACCAAAGCACTTTTTTTTTGTATAAGACTTTAGCTTTTTTAAATTTTATCAATTTTCAAAATGCGTAAAACTCGTAAAGGTTGTGTTTCATCGATTAAATCATTATCTTTGCGCCAAAATACGAACTTTTCTAATCGAAATGCCCTTCAAAAATTTAAACGTTTTGGATTATTTAAATTAGGTAATAGAAATATTTAATATATAAGATAGATATTGGTATTAGTATTAAATGATAATGATTCTAAATATCATTTAATCACTACAATACCCATAGCTGCCCTAATACGCATATCTATCTTACAATAAAAAACTTGTTGGTCTGCATTAGTATTACACTTATCTTGCATCTTAAATTAAATCCTTTATATATAGAATCAGGTATAAATGACAAGGAAGGAGATAAAGTAGATGTGGATTCGCAAGATGAAATTGATCAACAAGGAGAGCTATGATCTGAAACAAAAAATGAAACGCAAAACGAAATAGAAATGCATGGCGAAGTGGATTCGCAAGATGAGATTGATCAAGACAAAATTGAGCTACAGGATAAAATAGAAATGTATGATGAAATGGAAATGCAAAATGAAATAGAAGATATAATGGAAGACTATGTAGTAGAGGAGGGTGACAATAGTAACAGTAATAGCGATAGCTTTATAGATGAGGATCAGGTTGTTGACTCACCAATAGATATAAACCAAATATTAAATACAAATGAAAGTGCATCATACTTTGAGAATCCAACCTCTGCATTACTATTTTGCTGAATACAGAAGCACAACATTTGTAAGTTTTTATTTAATAAATAAAATAAAAGTTTTTTTTTTTTTTTATTCAATGCTTCAAAATATATAATTTATTTTATAGCAACCAGTGCGTATAATGATCTAGTAGAAATATTGCAAAATCTAGCTTTTAAAGTTGATAATATTGTAAAAAATATACAAAGATTTCGGCAATAGAGAAATCGACTACCATTAATGCCAATAAGAACACATTCTGTAAACATTAATCCAAAAAAGACTTCTTCAACATCTAAAGAAACAAAGCTTGTTATTATCTCTCTATTTATGATATAATTTGGAATGTTTTGAACAATCAATCACTATATAATATACTATACTTTGGTCCGGAGATTGAAGTCGAAAATAAAAAAAAATACTGGCATAGAGATCTTTGGGCTGAGTCACCATTACTCGGTCAAGATAAGATAACCATTGATGGAGGTAATACTTTTATTTTATTTAAACATGTCACATTAAAATCATCACTACTAGAATAATTAGTGTGGTAATACACTAAATTAAAAAATTTATCACAATTTTTTATTTAAAAAAGAGAATAAATTAGAAAAAATTTAAAAAAATTACATATTAAAAAAAGAGCACTAAAATAATGCTTTTCGTCCCTCTGTTAACCGCGGTGACAATATGGGTTAGGTGCGAAAAGGGACAAATTGACAAAAAAAAGAGATCCTCGAAAAATCAATTTTAATCTTATAGAAAATACAAAGCTTTAAGAAGCTATATTGCAAAATTTTATTAACACAATTACTTTTGTGTCTTAAGTGAAAAATGAACCCAATCTTGTTTTAAATTAATTTATGTAAAAAACATCTTTTGAAAAAATGTCAATTTCGTCCTTTTTTGCCATAATATGTTTAAAAATTTTTACACTATTCTTACTTACTAGACGTAATTTTTTTTTTTTTTGTAATATGAACTTTATTATAATGACAGAACTTTACCATCTGGGAGAATTTATTGTTTATAAAGAAGATAATGTGCGAAGATTTGGGCGAATACGTTCAATAATAATAACCTTCACATAAAAATTCAACAGATTTATATATATAACGAATTACTAGCCAAATTCTATAGTAGTGCATATTTGGCTATGCAGGAATCTCAATTATGGTTAGTGGATCAATATTTGGAGGAAGAATGCATTATTGTTGATACAAGTAAAATTATTAAAAAGATTAATATTTCAATCGTTCGCACTTCAAGAGTTGCTATTAGTCTTTATATTAAAGAAATTTTGTATAAAAATAATGGTCATTAGAAATTACAAAATGTCAATCTTGATTATTTGCATCCATGTAAGTATTCTACTTTAATTGCACCACCACCGCAGTATAACTATCTTTAGATTATAAAGTTATTTATTGACATTTATTACGACGACTTTGGTACATATCGAAATGTTTACCATTTCTTAGGTGGCGTATATATACAATTAGAGAACATGCTATTTGATATAAGAAAACATTTATGTAATTACTTTGTTATAGGATTTGTCCCTTTTGGTGGGAGCTTTGATGACTTTATTCGCCCGTTTATCTCTGATATTAAGCAATTAGAAAGAGGAACACTAATAAATGTCCAAGGAAGTGATTGTTGGATTATTGCCAGTCTCGGATGCACTACAGCGGATCTCCTTCAGGGTAATGATTTAGTAGGTATAAAAAGACATGGCGCAACAAGAGGGTGTAGAACATGTTTAGTTTCAAGAGAAAACACAACAGATAAGGCTCTAGATATTGCCAGCATTTCCCATTATCACCACATTACAAATGCCCAATTTGACGACATCTTTGCAGCTCCAATAATTACACAACGAAATGACATTGCTAAAAAATATGGTCTGCAAAATTATTTTCCAATATTTGATGAACTTTAACGTAAAAGACATCTCCAGTCACCACAGGACATTTATTATATAATGGTCAGTAAAACATTAAAACTTCTTAAGTTAACTCTTGCAATATTATCATCAGATGGCGAACAAAAATTTCTCAGAGTTTGGAAATTATTTGAATATCCTCACCAATAGTCGAAACTTCCAAACCTTATAAGTCATATAGAAAGCTTTATGATGTCAGATTGTCTTCGGCTAGGAATAGTAATGCCCATCAGCAAATTTAATAGGGCATAATATTGCGCAATAATTTATGAAGCGTAAGAAAACCGTAATATTACGTAATAACTTTCGCAATATTGCGAAATATA